AATTTTCAAAACTTACCCGTAATAACAGCAAACTGATTTAAACATAATAAGTATAATAAAATACTAGGGATTATAAGAGAAAATAATAATTGGTAATTTTTTACAACTCGAAAATTAGTTTGTAATATTTTAAATAATATACATACCTTTAAGTAGAGTTCCAAAATTTATAATGTATTTTCGCACAGTACCCAACCCCTCATGTAACTTTTTATTCTTTACAAGTGACATAACTATTTCGTAATACGGTGCAAAGGTGTCCCATTTCACCATTAGCTTATCAAAATTGTACCACGGGGCGTCTTTATCAGTTGATACATTTTCAAAAATACTGTCAGTATTTTGTGACGATTTGCTTATCTTTTTTGCCAAATCGTTAACTAAAAATGTTTTTAAAAAATCGCATACGGTTTTTCGTTTTCGGAATTGAAAATACCTTTTAGCTGAGCTTCTTGTTTTTTAATAGCATTTTTAAAATTTTCATCGAAATCTTTCAACTTTCCAACTCCAAAAACAATTGCCAGATCTTCAGGATCTTGAGGAATGTTGACCTTTTTTTCGTTTCTGAGAAATTTTTCGTTGTTTGTATCAATTCTTAAAACTTTATCGCCGACTTTCCTGCTTGCTGACGGCACAATTTTTGCGTTAACAATTTTCAAATCTACCGCCCTTGCTCTCACTGTAGTCGACGCATAACAAACTGTAACATTTCTTTGTTTTAAAATGGAATTTCTATATAGAAACATTTAATATTTCTTACCTATTAGCCAGCCTATCATGAAAACTGAAAGGACAAATTTGAAATATTTCATTTTAAAAATAAATTTTCATGGAGTGTCGAATAGGCATATGGGATGGGGTATGCGCAATGGGCAATCTTGAAAGAATGTTATTATGGTAGTGACATTGGGGCAAATGGAAATTTTTTGGACTTAAACTTTTAATTTTGACATTTTGTGGTACACTTTGATTTTTTTATAACAGCTGTCACAGTTTTCATTAATTATTTATTGTCCGATCAATTGAGAAGTTGCGGAAGTTACAGTTTTGCACAAAAAACAATAAATAATTAATTGTACAGGGCACATATGTATACAAATTTTGATTTGCTAGCAATGAAACACAATAGGCGCTAATTATTTAAAATCGGATAAAAAATGTTTTTTATTTAGCATTTTAAGGGTGCGTAATTTTTTTCGGTTTTGAAAATGTCGTTTTTGGTTGGATTTTCAATTTTTTAAGTTTCCTTCATTTCTTTCTTCATCTGTTGTAGCTTCACAAAATCAAATTATGCTATTTTTGTACAAAACTTACTTTTGACCTCCCCTCCCCTCCCCCTCAATTCTACGTTGGGGTAAGTTTTTTAATTGCCAATAATTACTCAATTTTATATAAATTCTAAAATTAAAAAAAAATGGTACTTGGATTTTAAAAACTACAAAAACAAAATATGAAAAAGGTTTTATTTGTTATTTCGTTTAATTGTTTTTCTCTGTTTTTTGTTTGGAGTTAGTGTGTTTTATTTTTCGAAACAGTGCACATACATACATATAACAAAATGTTGTTTTTGTTTAAGTACTGTTTTAAATTATTCGCCTTCCTCATCTTTGTGGGTTTTGTTTGGTGTAGATTTGGGATCGTCTTTTGTCGATTCCTTATTTTCGGTTTTGTGATGTGTTGGATCGCTCAGTTTAACTAAAATTAAACAAAACAATAAGTACAAAACTAAAATAATTCGGAAAAAGTTTTTACGTACACAGGTCCCATACAGATTTCAATAAGTTACTAAAAAAATCTTGTATCTTGTCACTCGGTGGTGGCGTTTCTGGAATTTTTGGTGGGGTATCTTCAACACTGGGGGTTAATGCTAAAAGTGTTTTTTAAAAATTAAAATTAGAGAAAGAGTAACAACAACAACAATGAAATTTCATCAGAAAATATAGAAATTAAATTAAAATTGTACGTTGTTACATTCAATAATACTGGGGTGCTTACGTTTTCCCGAAAACTGTTTCCAAAAGTTTGGGTCCCAGCCTAGAATTAGAAACGAAATGTGTGATAACAATTAGAACAAAATGCATATTAAAATAAAAAAAAAGTAATTTTCATTGTCTTTTTTGTAGCTTTTCTTTATTAAGGTATGTATGTGTTTTGTTTATTTTGCAAAAGTGCCTGTACGTTCTTTTTTTTTAATATACTTTATGATTAATTATTACCTGGAAGTCCAAGTTGCTTTGTCTGAGGTGGCACACTTGATGCTGAAAATGTTAAACAATATATAGAATATCCAAAAAATATTAAGTACCTAGCAAGTCTTTTTTTTAAATATTCTTGCTTATCTATTATTCTTATATTTGAATTTAATTACCTTTAACTGAATCTTCCCCTTTTGCTTTATCACCTGACTCTTCAATTAATTATACAAATGAATCAATAGGAAATAATAGCAACTTAATAATTAACCCAAAACTTACCTCCCTTAGCTGACAACATTGACTCATCTTCGTCCGCTAGAAATTATAAAAATAATGCCTAAACATTAGATAATTAAACAATAGAACAAATGAAAAACTTTGCGTACGTTTTTAATATTAATTAATAAGAAGGATAAAACAAACTTTTCACTTCATCATTGTTATTAACATTTAGTCAAAATTTTGAATTAAACCAATATTATTTAGTCTACGTCTTCTTATAATCGAAAAATAAAAAATACTGCGATAATGTGTAACAATTTTCAAAACTTACCCGTAATAACAGCAAACTGATTTAAACATAATAAGTATAATAAAATACTAGGGATTAAAATTATCTTCATTTTTGTGGTACTCCTTTGTTAGTTTGCAACAGAATACTTTTAATATTTTTCAATCGTTAAAACAATCCACTTATTAAAAATAAATTCTGATTAAAAAGTGACAAAATAGACATGTTCTGGCATTTCCGATAAATGTGTACGTGTTATATTAAATAATATTGAATTTTAAAATTGTCCTTTTAATGGTCCCTAAACAAATCAAACGATAGCATAATAAACATTTTTTTATTTATACTAATATAGATTAGGTACTTTAAACAAGTGGAAAAAAAGTAGGTATAATTCATAAAAATTAAATTTCAGCTCCTATGTAATTAAGTAATATTTTTATGATAGTATTTAATTCGCATTTTACATGTTACCCAGTGACCTAGTTTCTTTTTTTATAGTAGTATAATTCATGAATTAATTTTGTTAGGATCTATACTACTGGAGATAGTTTTGTGTGTGCATAAAGTGTTCTGTCGATGAAAAAAGAAAAACCGAGGCCAGTGCAATAGTTGTCTTATACATACTGTACAATTTTGTAATAATTAATCTTTAAAAGCATTTACATTGGCTTTATTCTCTTTTTTTGTCACATTACACCATTATGATACAGCAAGCTACCTCCGATGGTATAGACTCTAACGATAAGGAAAAGCGAATGAGAGAGATGCAACTTGATAGACAACGACGGAAAGAAAACAATAATAATGAATGAATCATCTGTTCCTTGAAATGATGAATAACTGTCAGTTCGTAAACTAATTAAGCAATCAAAACATGCAGTTTCTCATTAGTACCATATAAAGTGCAATTAAATAGTCGTAGCAGTGACAAGAAGTGATTTAATTGGTATTTAATAAAGTAGTGCATGTATTTCTTTTATGACGCGTATGTATACAATTTTGACTAATCATGGGTTACTTAGGTATTATTTAGGGTAGTCTTCTAGCAATTTCACGATTGCATTCTTAATTTTAATTAGGTATGTTTAAATTAAATAACCATTTAGATAAAGGATTTGTTAATGTTTTTCTCTTCGTTTTGTTTGTTTATCTCCAAAGTAACATTGAGTGTAGGCAACCAAACAGTACAATCTGGTACAATTGGTTGCCTATGCGCCGAATTGCAAAAATTTTAATTAATTAATGGAATACTTATTGTTTTTAAATATTTTCCAATATAAATTTTATATTAATGACACTTATTGTTATTCAATTAGGTCTTATTTATTATTTTTACGTGTCTGATATTAATTTACTAATTTAAACGACTCTTTTTCATGAGAATATGTAATTTATACAAATATTAACGAACGGGAGCTTTACTGATACCACATAAATTCTAGGTGTACAATCCAAACTCAGGACCATAATAACAAAAATCCAAAACATTTCGTTGACAATTGTTTAGTAAAAATCAAAAACCAGGTGCTAGAAAACACTTTTCAGACAATTTCTCAAATTTTGATTGTTCAGAATATCAGGGCTAGGCTAAAGTATATAATTTCAAAACTAAAATAATTCGGAAAAAGTTTTTACGTACACAGGTCCCATACAGATTTCAATAAGTTACTAAAAAAATCTTGTATCTTGTCACTCGGTGGTGGCGTTTCTGGAATTTTTGGTGGGGTATCTTCAACACTGGGGGTTAATGCTAAAAGTGTTTTTTAAAAATTAAAATTAGAGAAAGAGTAACAACAACAACAATGAAATTTCATCAGAAAATATAGAAATTAAATTAAAATTGTACGTTGTTACATTCAATAATACTGGGGTGCTTACGTTTTCCCGAAAACTGTTTCCAAAAGTTTGGGTCCCAGCCTAGAATTAGAAACGAAATGTGTGATAACAATTAGAACAAAATGCATATTAAAATAAAAAAAAAGTAATTTTCATTGTCTTTTTTGTAGCTTTTCTTTATTAAGGTATGTATGTGTTTTGTTTATTTTGCAAAAGTGCCTGTACGTTCTTTTTTTTTAATATACTTTATGATTAATTATTACCTGGAAGTCCAAGTTGCTTTGTCTGAGGTGGCACACTTGATGCTGAAAATGTTAAACAATATATAGAATATCCAAAAAATATTAAGTACCTAGCAANAATAATAATTAATTACATAATAATTCACTCGACAACAACAAAAAGTACCAGAAAACATTAAATTTGCTTAAACGAATGTTATATTTATTTATTCATTTAGACGACTAAGGTTGATTTGTTGTAAATGCACTGATTCCATTGTTTGCCATCTCGTCCATTATTTGTGAGATGTAAGACGCAACATCCACTTCTTCCTTCTCTGAACGTATTATGAATGCATCTTGTAGCAGTTTGTTGTACTTTGGACGACTGGATTCCTCTTTTATTAAACTGAAAATTAAATTCAATCAAAATTTGACGCTGCACAAGACAAATAAAATAGCAATTTACTCCTCATATAAAATCCCTACCGCCAAAAGGCGAAGGAAGTTTGCTTACCAAGTATTTACAAAATCTACAAACTCGGGTGTAAAAGTATTGGCGTTATGTTTTATTGAAAGGCGCGGGGGGTCCCCATTAACCACTTGGTGCAACTGTTCAAACACACTAGACCATTTTGGATAGGGAAAATGACCGGTAGCCACTTCCATTAACGTTATTCCCAATGACCAAACGTCGCTCCGTACGTCGTAGCCCTTTGCCCTTTGTGGATCTATTCTTTCAGGCTATAAAAAAAAGAAAAGAAATTGCCGCAATACATTTAACGACAAAACTAGTGATTTTCAGCTACTTACCGCCATATAGGGCCTACAACCGGCATCTCTTGTCCTTGCAATGGAGTCTACAAGTTGTCCCGATATTCCAAAGTCACACAACTTTATGTTTCCCTTTCTATCCAAAAGAATATTGCTGGGTTTAACATCTCTATGTATTATCTTCAGTTCTTCTTTGAGATAATTCAAAGCTTTCACTGTGGCCACTGTAATCTTCCCTAAAATCGGTTCTGGTATACAGTCTTGGAGCCTTTCATAAATGAACTTGTAAAATTTATCCAACGATGTATCCATCAACTCCATACAGATCCAACAATCTCCCTAAACAAAAATGCTGACTTTAGATTAACTTTTAGGAGTTTTAAAACCAAAAATACTGACTTCTTTAAAAAGTGCTCCGTAAAATTGTACGATAAAAGGGCACTCGTTACTTTTCATAACAACTTCCAGGTCCATCAGTAACTGCTTTTGCTCCTTTTCATCTACCGTGGATCGCAATCTTTTTACAGCCATTGTGGTGTTTGTTTTGCGATGTACCATCTTATTGACAGTTCCAAAACCACCTCGACCAATCTCCCCCTGGTCCTGTAGATCATCCGACGTGAAATCAAAACTTTTACCATCTAACTGCAGCTTACCAGTAGAATGTATTGACTGGCAAATTTTAAATCTGCAAGGGGGTGAGATTCAAAGGGATTCGAAATTTAACAAATAAATTAGTAATCACGTATTAGTACTTAAGTTATTTACCAGCATAAAGCACCCAAAGTCACGTAAATAATTATCAATCTCTATAATAATGTATAACACACATAAAGTCCACGTAAATGGCTATTTACAGAGGAGTTATTCGTTTATGATTAATAACAGATGTAGTTCTTAATTGAAAACTCTAATTTCAAACAATTTTGACTGTTTTGGTAAGGAATTTGTTTTGTATGTTATGTTTTAACTGCAAAACATAGAATTAAGCAAAACTCATGCTCACTAATATATTTACCTCCATTTATATTTACGACCCTGCCCAAAACTATGAGAACATAACAAAAAAGCAAAAATAAATATTCTGCATGACCCTCTACATTAAAACAAGTACATAAAGCAATTTAAAAAAATGACATGCATAGAAAGTATTTTATAAATACAAAACTACATATAATTTCTTTACACCCCAATTGTAAGGGGTGCAATCTGTATAATTTACATATAAACGATTTCTCAGTAAAATCTGTACTTTCAATTGAATATTAAGTGTTTTTAAGAATGAACAATACATTTTTAAAATACTTCATGTACGGTTTTTTCTAATTATTCATTGAACTAGAGAATCAATTACAAACCGGTTTTTATCGTTTGTTGTATCAACTATAGGTCTTGATACTTTTGGAAGGGTCATTTTGGGTCGGTTAGCAGCATTTCCGCCAGAAACTATCTTATCAGAATTGGAGTTTGTTTGTACTGTTAGGGAACGAAAACCAAAATTGTTTTGTTGTTGGGAAGGAAAATCCATTTTAACTAAAGGTGGCCTTCTTCCTATAAATTAATATTACAACTTACTACAAGAGATAATTCATTGCAATTTGTGGTACTACCTTGATTTGCATTTCCTGGTTGCTCTGCCATTTTTTTCGTCTTCTAAGCTGGTTTAGAGATTATCATCATTATATTCAGCCACCCACAAAGGCGATAACGTTTAACATTATCAATGTACAGATTAATGATAATTCATTATTAATTAACTTTTTCAACGCTTCCAAATAAACCCAAAAGTGACTCTACAACAAATCGAAAACGGAAATATCCAAATTCTCCAATAATTTTACCTGTCTAATCGTAAACAAAGAAAAACGGATATATTTGGAAATAAAGACAGCGTTGTCAATTATTATCTATGGTTTACGAAACATTTGCTACGCTGTTAATTATAAAATGTACGTAAAAATATACAACATTACGATTTTGATATCCTAAAAATATTCATTTTGATCACGCGATTGAAATTATATAGATTAGACAAATACTAGTAAACTATTTTGTTCTTTTAAGCAGCGTAATTAAAATTACGACACTAGGTATATTGTATTACAGTTTTTAACATCCTGTGTACGTTATTTGTCTATGGTACGTCATGGTATTATCTATGGTCATGGTGTTTGTGTATCTATTATCTATGGTATTATCTATAGTGTTTTTATGATATTATCTATAGTGTTCTATGATAATATCTGTAGTGCTTCAAAATGTCAATGGCGGTCAATGGTTTGATAAATAATATAACCAGTTAATATAAAAAATATATTTGTTTTTGAAATGGCTTCGTTAAAAAGAATATTTTTTGGAAAACATAGTTTTATTAATCAAAGGAATTCAATTTATAGGTAATCATTGCATTCTAAAAGTGCTGCTTGTTTTGAATTTCGACATAACCGTACATTTTAAAAAGTACTAATGTTATCTTATATTAATTCACTAATTAACAGTTTAATACAACAAAATGGAATGTCACAATATCCCAGTTATTACATTCAACCAGTGTACAGAAAGGAAGCTCAAGAAGAATTGGAGAAATCGGGCGAGATAATGAAAATTACTCATGTCCCTACAAGAGCAGCTTTAAATGACCAAACCTCTTCTGTTTATCAGGATGAGCTTGTCAAGTAACTAGTTAAATGTAAAAGAGTAAGTTGATTATCTAATTAATTGTTTCTTGCAGTTTGTTTATAAATTATGTGATGAGAGACGGATTAAAGACATTGGCCAGGGGACTTGTTGAAAAAAGCTTTGAAAATATAAAAAGGATACAGTTAGAAAAATATCATAAAGCCAAAACAGAGGCAGAAAAGCAAGCAATCGAAATAAATCCCAAAAATATATTTCATCAGGCTGTTAATAATTGCAAACCACTCCTGTATTTAACTCCAATAAAAAGGGGTGGTGTAAAGTACCAGGTACTTTTATAATGAACAATTTTCTTTGTAGTTCTGCTTGTTAAAAAATTATTTTTAGGTGCCTGTGCCAATTCCAGATAAAAGGTCACAATTTCTGTCCATGAAGTGGTTAATAGAGGCAGCCAGAGAAAAGGAAAGAACTGTACATTTCCCAGAAAAATTAGCTTACGAATTGATTGATGCTGCAAGCAACACTGGTAAAGTGGTAAAGAGAAAACTGGATTTACATAAACAGTGTGAGGCAAACCGAGCTTATGCACATTACAGATGGAGCTAATAAATCAAATTACAACTGTATGTCAAGAGCTTTATTTGTTGTAACACTAGTGGCAAGGTAAAACTGAATTTTTTAATCTATAATTCACCAAAAACTTTAGAAAACTTGTCTTTATCTAATATAACACCTACACTTCTGTTAAATTTGAACTGTTCATTTGTTGAATATCTCCTTAAACTTTGAAAAAGGGTGTCTAGTGGCATTGGACGAATTTCTGACAGTGGAGTTATATCATCTATAGGAATTTCAGTATCTTTTCTTTTTCCCCAAAAGTCCACATATGATATTTTCATTTTTGTATTATCATTATTCAAGTAAACAAAACCTATCCAGTTATTTGTCACAAAACTAAATAAGGATAATCCAACGGCTCCAGAAAAAGCTAAAAATCGTTACGTTGTAGTGCACCTTTTTAATTAAATACATGTCTTTGTACCAAGTACACCTGCTGTAATTACTGCCTCACTGCCCACAATTTCCAAAAAGTGTAATCCCAACGACGAAGGGACTACTACAGCTGAAGCGATGATATGGTTGATTTTTATTTTGTTTACTGTAGCTATCATTCTTATGTAGGGAAATTTGTAAATTGGAACGTAGCCTTCCACAACATCTTCTTGACCTTTTCCATGAGGTTGTAACCGTGAATTTATTGTTAAGAGTCTTTTAGAATTGTTTTTTTTTATTATTAGGTTAGTTAACCTAACTTTACTGTTAAAAGTTCTGACAGTGTTCATTCTCTTTTGATAACCTCCAAAACTGTTGTCTATGGATTGTAACCATGGTTATATAGCAAATTTCATTAGAGCTTATAGTGCCGTAGGTAGCTTGCTTTGTTCAGCCATACTGCGTTTTACTTTCAATTAGGTAAAATAGAGTGACAATTATATCACATTTTGACCACGGATGGTGCAAATGTTTAATCAAAACAATAAATACAATTTAAACAAGTTATGATTAAGTGACATTTCCTGTTTATTTCTGGTCAAATTGTTGGTATTTTGAAGGATTTGAATTTAATTTTGTAAATTTAACATTGAATCCCTTAATATAAGAGAATTTGACTAGTAAATGACATGGTAACGTTGGATTTCTTTTCATTTCAATTGGGAATAGTTTTCGATTTTCCGTTTCTGTAAATTTTCTCCAGCACTATATGTTCTTAAACTTTTAATTTGGTAATGCAAATCCATACTTATGCAACCAATTATACAACTTAGTAATCCGTGCTACATAATTTTAATTGATTTTGTTTTAAAACTTTCAAATTAATAATTTATTATGTAACCAATAAATGGTTATTTTTTTTTTAATGCAAATTAGAACGAAACACTTACTTCAATGTTTCATTCTCATTTTTATCAGTTAATTTAAAAAACTGTGCAACAGAAGTTGAATTATGCAAAAAGATAATACAGTTTTCATTTAAAAGTTTGCGTTTTTTTGCATTCAGTAAAAAGCTTTTAATAATCATGCCTTTTGACTTAGATTTTTGTGAAACAAGAAAAATGTATGATAGTAATGTATCAAAAGATAATTTATTTACGTAAGGACATAAGGTAATTGGTGTTTTGCGTTAATTATGTAATGTAAATGTATGTTACAAACTTTGGAGGTTAGTTTTTTGGTCCTCGTTTTAAACCAGTAGTACTTATTAATCTTTGATTGGTTTTTTAATTGATAACTTAAAGGTGCTGTGTGTTTTAATTATATAATCTTTCAATACTACATTTTGAATAAAGTAAATAGGGTTAAATTCCGTCCTTTAATTTTCCAAAAAAAAAATATGCTTTTATCAATGAAAATTAAATTCGCAGCTTATCATTAGTACTTGAGGTTTAAAATTACATAACAATAAATGATTTTGTTTCAACATGCATACGCACTACTATTATCTACATGTAACAACAAGGAAAAATGTTTTTCTTTCGCTTTCACAGTTGCATGTTATCAGAAAGGAATTGTGTTACACGGTGTTTGCTTACCACTGCTAAATACAATAATTTTTAAAGGTAAGGAGTTTTTATGCTGTGTGTACGTTAAAATGTAATGTACATGTTTTTGTTTCCAGATTTTACTCATTAGCAAAAGTTTTTGCGGAATAGCTGTACATACGTAAAGAAAGGAAGAAAATTTTAACGTTTATTGACAGTATTTTACCAGATACATTAGGTAAGTAAACATTTGCTGTTCTTACACATCTCGTTATTTAATTTTGTTGTTTACATACCCGTTTTGTGTATTTAAACATGGTACGTATTGTGATATTGCTATCAGGCTTTTATATTTTATATTATAATCCTGTTTGTTTGAGTATGTGCGCAATACTAAAATTTTATTGCAACAAAGAGGTCTCAAAAAGATCTGTTTTAGTAGGTACTTTGTTTGAAAATTTTAATTTTCTATTCATCATAATATAAGTAATTTTCCCAGGAGGTCACATGGGTCATAATAACAATATTTTATCGTCATAATTTTACGTAAATATAAATTAAAACCGTGTTATGTCATTGTAAACTGTATAATATACAAGAAAAACTTGTTCTTCATTAATTTCATTTCTATTTAATTTTCTAATGTATACATATTAATTTTTTTTTTAGTTTTAAGTTTAATATTTTACCATTTAATTACAAAAACATTTTAAAATGCCACATACAATACAATGGAAAAAGTTTTTCGGATTGATAACTGTGGAGCCCACGATGGTATTTTATATGATGGCTTTCATGGTAACTTCGGTGGTTGAAGAGTCGTTTTTTGTTTATAAAGCATGCACAGTTAACAACAATTTCAATTCAACAGTATGTGATGACATCCATTCCAAAAACTATAGCGAATTTAACAAAAAAGTACAAGTAAGAAATTCACATTTATCCAGTTTTTTTTTTTGAGTTATTGTTTTTTTGTTTTAATTGTTTTGTACCGTTTTGTTTTTTTTTTTTTATTTCTAGTTGACAGTTTCAGAATTCCACCAATGGAACGATATAGCCGGTCACGTTGGTACAATTGTGCTTGCTTTTTTTATGGGTTCCTGGGCCGACAGAAGAGGCAGAAAATTGCCCCTGCTTCTGGGACTTTTTGGAAAACTGTATTATTCTGCAATGATAGTATTAAACGCAACGCAAGACCATTGGCCCGTTGAATATATAGTTTACACTGCCACACTGCCCATGGCTTTTACGGGGGCCGACGTTGCCATTTTTGCCGCCTGTTTCACATACGTAGTCGACGTTTCTTCTGATAAGAACAGGACTATTCGGGTGACCATTCTCGAAGTTTGTTACTTGGCCAGTATGCCTACGGGTATCGCTTTAGGTGAGGGAATGACCGGTTTTTTGTCTATTTGGCACCTCTAGTTTTTATTCTCTTTCAGGGTCCTACCTTTTTACTCAAGTGACGAACAAATCTTACGCGACAATGTTCCTAATCAATTGTTCTCTCCTCGTTGTTTCGATTATTTATTCACTTGTTCGTTTGGAATGGCGAACGAGCGAACGTCAGCGGCCCCTAAGCGAAGCTGCGAACATTGTCACCGACTTCTTTGATTACAAGCACGTAGTTGATACGTTTCACACTTTATTCAGAAGACGATCGGGGAAGAAACGTTGTTTTTTGTTACTGTTGATCGTCTCCATGGCTTTCTACACATTCCAAAGGAATGAGAAGCAGATGATGTATTTGTACTTGCAACTGGTACTCAACTGGTAATTTTTTTTGTTGTAGGTATCAATTTGTACCGTATACTAATTTGTTTTTTATTTTTTGAGGTCTTTTCAACAAATTAGTAACTTCAGGACGTATCAGAGTGCCCTACAGGACTTGGCTTTACTCATTGTAATCCCCGTAGGAAGTAAATTGTTGGCTTGGAAGGATGGGATCATCGCTATGATAGGAGCTGTGGCTCATTCCGTTGCAAGAATGTTTTTTGCAACTGCGAAAACTAATTCATTAATTTATGTCGGTAAAGTGTCCAAACATTTATTTTATATTTTTTTTATTACCGATTAATGTATTGTTAATATTCAGGTGGAATGTTTGCCGGATTGGGACCAATCGTAGCTCCCATTATCAGATCAATGATTTCAACACTGGTATCTTCTTCAGAAAGAGGTCTGTATAAAAGAATTGAATTTTGTTACCAGTAAATTGATGATACAATTATTTATTTATTTATTTATTATTAAATAGGAAAAGTTTTTACCATGCTGGCCGTGGCAGATAACGCAATACCGATGCTATCAGGAACTGTTTATAATCAAGTTTATAAAAAGACAATTAATCATTTTCCAGCTGGTATTTATCTAGTTACGATATTTACACAAATGGTTGTTTTTTTAATTTTCCTGTAAGTGAAATTTGTTTTATTATAATCCTAAGCTTCTTATTACAATATGTGTTTTTTCAAGGTATATTCATATTAGATCTAGAGACCAGACGTATATTCACGGTGGAAATGATGATGATGATGACAATTCTTCTTTTGATATCCAACCCAAAGCAGTCGATATAGTGGAACAGCGTTAGTATCGATTTGTTTTTACTTTACGTACTGATAAAAAGTTATTTTTTATCGAAAAAAATACTCGAACATAGAATTGACTTTTTTTTTACCAAATACCTGTTGAAGTAGTTTTAAAGTATCAAAACAATTGGTTAAAAGACTTAAACAGAACGGCCACATTGTTACTTATTAGTGTTTTTACTGCTCAATATGACTTAATTGTTTAGATTCTTAAAATCCCATGTTCCCACTTTCAATTTAAATTTAACAACGTCAGGTTTAATAAAAAATTTTGGGTTGTTCAATAAATGATCACCCTGTATTTTAAATTATTGTATTGTCTTGGCTAAATGAAGAAGAAGTAGGTAAAGCCCTTATCTATGGTAAGTCATTAATCATAGCCATAGATAAACGGCGGCAATCCGGCAATTAGGTTAAGATGCCTATTTGTTATTAATGGAAGTTAATATTGTGTTTTATTTTGTAAAATGTTATTTCTTACTCCATAATTAACAATTAAGAACTTTGCATGCACAGTAATGGTATTGTAAGCAGTTGTGTGCAATGTGGTGTTGGCGAGTGTCTTGTACTTTAAATTCGCGTAGTTTATGTGGTGTTTATGTTAATTTTGTGAACTTATCGAGACATTTTTCTTCTTTGCGAACCACTAGGTCGGTGAAAGAAGATGTACTTCCTTTGTTACTACCACCAGATCTTCAAGATAGTAAAGCCAATGATTGGACAAGTATTCGGAATAATGTTAAGGAAAACAAGGACGTGCCCTTATCTACAGTCGATTTTGTGATTTTAAATTATTGTTGTTCTACAAAGCAGTACAGTTTAGGCATAAAGTTTTGGAAGTATTTGGAGGAGGCAGGTATTAAACCTAACCTTGCCACTAAAAGAAAATATCTTTATCTTTTGTATAAATGTAGCAGGACAAGTGGTAAAAGGGAAGAGACACAGATTTTAAAATTGTAAGTTATTATTATATAATTGCTTTAAGGTGTGTAACTGGTGTAATTACAGGTGTGATGATATACAGAAAGAGTACAAAGTGTTAGACCCTACAACTAGTGAACATGTAGCTCAAGCATTATCTGTTACCAAATGTTGGAGACAAGGTATTAAATTGTTAGATGAAGTTAAAATTACCGCAACTCCTACCACTGAAACATATTCAGCAGTTGCAGCAGCTGCCTTTGAAAATTTAGAAAATGAGTTAGGATTGGAAATAGTAAAAGAAATTATTGGTAAGCATTTTGATTGCATTTTGTGGACATGTATGACTTTTTTGTTTTTAGAGAAAGACAGGAAGCCTTTAGACTATGTGTACATGTCATATTTCTCCCAAATAAAAAGTAATTCTTCATATAAACATGCAAGAGAAAAAATTGAAGAGTTATTTAAGTTCCTAGGGCAATATGACTTAATCTTTAATCAAAAAGATGCTGAAGTGTTTGTTCAATATTGCAAAGAGTGGACTGATTCTGCTAGTTTAACTGTGGTTAATAAAAGGTAATAAATGCATTACAAATATTGTGTAGGTATCTACTAAAAAATTATAAAATTACAAATTTGAAATGTTTGGAGAAGTGTTAATTTTGTTTCAACTAATTTTGATTTATTTTCCAGTGGCATTTGTAAAAGCTGTTCCCAAAAGTTGGAAAAAGTGACCTTAACAGAAATCGAATTTGAACAATTAAAGAATGATTTTCTTGAGAATGTTATTATTGGAAAGGATGTATTTAATAAAACTAATCCTAAAGAGCTTGAAAAACTACAACAGTTCTTAAAAAGTAATAAAAAGTATGATGTTGTAATTGATGGTTTAAATGTTGCATTTTCGGCTGGTGTCAAATCACCTCAAACTTTTGCATTTTTGGTATGTATTTGTTCATTCTTTAATCAATGCTTTGATTGTTTCACAATGGAATTGTATTGTTTTAGGTTGCTTCTGTTGTTAAACACTTTGTAGAAAATAATAAGAAAGTTTTGGTTGTGGGAAGGACACATATGAAAAAATGGCCCAAAAATTACTGGAATTATATTGCCCACAATGCAGACTTGTTCCTCGTCGATTGTTTATCTCAAGATGATCCTTATCTTTTGTATTGTGCCTTAAACTCCAAAAATGAAACTGTACTTGTTAGCAAAGACTTGATGAGAAGTCATTTGTTCCGCTTAAACACTTTCAACCAGAAAGGACTGTTCAAAAGGTGGTTAATGCAGAATCAGTGGAAATTGCAATATGTCTCCAAAGATGGAAAAGTTTCCTTTATGGTAAATATTTCTTTAAATATTTGTTTGGCGCAATTTTATGATTATTAGAAAATTGGGGATCTTAATCGATGTTATGCAACCCTACATACACTACATATATCCATGTTGCATAGATTAACGTTAGTAACGTATTGAAATGATACAATAAAGATTTCACAGCGTTACAATTACATCTAAATATTTAGCAATAAACAATGAATAATGCAGTATTGTAACACTTTTTTTTGTTTTAGCATCCACTTCCGTACTTTCGAACCATTCAAAAAAATCTAAATGTTTGGCATATCCCTTACGAATCAAACAAGACGAAGGAATTTAAAAGGAACAATCCCAATTATGCATCATACACCACCGAATGGGCCTGTATAAAATTTCCAACAGCGACTTAAAGGTAAGAGTAAATAATAAAAACAATTAACGAGGGTATTTCGATAAATAAAATTTAATTTCCAACGTATACATATATCTATTTTACCTTCTTTTCTCCACAAGCACCACGTTAAAAAAATAAGTACCCAACGTGCAATAAAAGTCTAAATCGGACAATATATAGTACATATTAATCTAATTATGTATAATACTACTTTCAAGTCTTTTAATGAGTGGGATATTGTGTTACATTGTTTCATTATCGTTTATTTTCTGATGAGTCTTATGATTTATTTACACATCTAAAGCTTCTAATAAAAAACTTATTTCCTTACCAATCATTGGGGAGGCAGACTGTTGACTATTTGCAAGGGAATAGTTTTCTTATAAAATTAGTAACCTTTTAATTAATGAGACTCGTATTAAAACGTTCAGTTTTCCTTCATGATCATTTTATGTATAACTTTATATTTTTATTTTTACTATTATATATCCGTAATCTTATGTTTTCGTGTTAAAACGGTAACAATAATGACAAGCAAATATTTAATATTTAGCAACAATTTCGCTAACGTGTATCTGCTATAGTTTTATTTATTATTGTACTAATTCTTCCTCGTCTATTATTGCGTTTCTACTATCCCCTCCGGATCCTTTTCTTTTGGTAAGAGTCCCCTTTATCTTGCTTTTCGTTGTGGCACCCCATTTTTCTTTAACTGCTTCTGAAGAAGTCATTAGCATTGAATAAGAAGAATTCGTGTCGCCCTCTTTGCTGTGGTGAATTCCATATAGAAAATACACCAACATTCCTGCAGAATTTTATTCTAATATCGCCACATCAAATAATAAAATCTAACATTTGTTTACCTAATACCATCCAGATGAAAAACCGTATCCAAGTCAGTACGTTAAGGTGGACCATAAACCCTAGATTGCAAAATATGCTTAAGGCAGGTAGAAAGGGGACCAGAGGTACCTTGAACTTTAATCCGGTAACGTTCTGATGATGGGCAGCAATTGCTATCAAACCTATGGTCAGAAACTACTGCTAGAGTGCGTTACATGTGTTTGAGCGCGTCAACTTACTTAGTGCCATTATGGTAACAAAAAAGGTGGCAATGACAATTATCCACCAGATGTCTTCAGTTTGATTTTTTAGAGAGCCATGTAATAGGAAGCATAGGGCACAACTGAAGACCATGAACACAAAAACGGACATGGTGACAACCCTTCCAGGTTTGTACATTCCAAAAATTGGAAAGAGCCATCCAAATTGAGGCTTTAGAGTGCCAGGTACGGGACAGAAGTCTAATACTGGGGTTGGCGTTTCGCTGTACGAAGAAGATGATTCAGAACAGCTGGGACTCGTTGCCGGTTTGCGGGGAAATCCCTCGGTTGTCGGCTTGTATCTTAAGATTATTATAGAAGCACTGACTATTGTGTAGGCCAAAAGAGTACCAATCGACATGAACTCTACCAGTTTTTCCAAGTCAAACAGGAGTGCTATCAAGGCACTCAGCAGGCCCGAAATCACCAGATTAGTCAAAGGCACCTGCGTCTTAGAATTAACGTTCCCAAGGAAACTGAACAAGAGACCGTCCTGAGCCATGGCGTACATGCACCTAATAAAAAATTACTAATACAGTTCCGTTTTTTAATGCTAAAGAAAAAAGTTACACAATCACCTTGGGAGAGAAAAGAGAGAACCTACTAGAGTGGTGGTCATTCCACATATGGCACCTATGGACACCAAATATTTTACCCAGTGCAAGCCGATCCCTGAAAAGGCTTCAGGGAGGGCGGCATTCGGATTAACACTGTCAAAGGGCACCAGCAGTGTCAGAGCGGCACACACCAAGATGTAACCAAGGGTCACAACTACCATAGAACTTATGGTGGCCACAGGGATCGAAAACGAGGGGTCTTTAGCTTCTTCGCCTGCCGTTGCTATGGAGTCGAAGCCCACAAAGGCATAGAAACAGGTAGCTGCTCCAGAAATTACTCTACAGTACAAAGTATAAGTGGAAACGTAAATAAGCCTGTATATAATCAAGTAATAATGTTAAATTACCCCCCAAAACCATATGGAAAAAATCCCCCTTTACTTGCTGTCCAGTTGGTGATGTCACTGTAGTAGAAACCCACGGAAATAACCAAAACCATTACGGCCAGATTTAGTATTGTTAAAATGCTGTTGAAAATGGCAGATCCTTTGACCCCAAAGCCTAACAACGAAGCGTAGACTATGCAAACGAGGAAAGCAAGGAAATCGGGGTATTTTCCCAAAAGCACTTGGTGCATTTCTCCCGTGGCTGCCAGTGTAGCGTTGCTGATTGCGTCGTCGAATAAGAAATTAACATAGCCACTCCAGGCTCTCGCCACCGAAGCGGCACCTAAAAATCGGACGCTCTGTATGAACAGAAATGAAATTGAAAGTTTCCATACCAACCCCTATGTATCCCCGAAACTTGTGAACCGAATAATCTAAAATAATTCGTGCAGATAGAGTATTGTGTAAGTATTTTAGAAAAAAAAAATTAAAAATGTCCCTTAGACTTGTGAGAAAAAAAAGATACGGAATCTTCGGCTCTCTTAGATGGGAGTTTATTTAGAAATTCGGCTTCTTACCTATCATGTGTTCCAAAATAATGTTCCAGCCGATAACGAAGGCCCAAAATTCTCCGACACTAACATACGTATAGGCGTATGCAGAGCCGGCTTTAGGAACTCTGGTACCGAATTCAGAATAACAAAGTGCCGACAGCAAAGATGCCACACCGGCCAGCAAAAAGGAAATTATTATTCCAGGCCCGGCTATGTTCTTTGTAACACTTCCTGTCAAGACATATATACCAGCTCCTACCATATGCCCAATTCCTGTAACGTTAAAAAACGCAGGTGCAATTAATTATTCCAAGACACCAAAAAAATCCGAAAATTATTTGGTGATAACAACACACCCAGTAGAGTGATATCAAACGTGTTAAGACATCTTTTTAGTGGGGTCTCCATAACATCACTTGGTAGCTGCTTTGTCCTGTTTATTTTGGAACAAATTCCGGACATAACATGGTTCAATATCATTTTGCGGGTGCTCGGCATTTTTTTATTTTTTTTATTATCTGTCGGTTAATGTTTAACAGTTCTATAAACAACATTGAATATAAGTACAGAAACGGTGTAATTTTTATTATATAACAAAGTAAAAGGTTTACTTACCCTTATAGTTAATTGTCTCTGAAAAAAAAAATATTAAAAGCACTGTCAGTCAATTATTTTTGTCCTATAACAGACCGATAATAAAATAAATATGTCCGCAAAATATAGCGTATGAATTGAAAGAACGCACTTTGGTGAAAATCAATAACCCCTGATTATCCTGAAGGAAATTCTGGTCACAAACTACAGGGGTCGTACAAAAAACAATGACGTTTTTAACCACCCATTTTCTGTCGCAAATAATGAATTTTACTTTACGTAGTTATTAGTAGTAATAATGAATTAACTCTTCATCTATTTAAACAATTACTACACTTGCGCTCACTTCATTGAAATTTTATTGTATGAAAAACTTCGTGCACAACCCTTGTATATTCAAACAGCAGGAAGTGATAATTAAATATTTACATACAAGGTGTTGTAATTTAGGTAGAATAAGTAATTAACAATACCATTTTGTTACGTTGGGTTTTAAATTACGCGGGTGGACTATCGATTTCTTCTAGTTTTTGGAGTATTTCAAATAGAATTCAAAGCAAATTATGAATTAAATTAAGATTTGCCCTTTTTAATTCAATTTAAAATACGCCAAATAGATTATTCTAAAAACAGTCATTTATGGCAAAACTTATTGTCTATATTTTCTCTACAGGTACGTAAGATATTTTTCTATCAGAAAATATCTACGCATTTTTAAAGATATCGTTTAATAGATATATCGTGAATTAACATTAACAAGTAGATTCTGTTTAAACACAATATAATTTAATAAATACAGTATAAATAATTCCTAAAACGTAGAAATTCCCCATTTGAATTTGAATGTGGCGTCTGTTGGCGCCGTATAGCTTGACGGAAGTGTGGTGCGTTTCTTCGCTAATCAAACCCGTGCTAGAAGAGTTTTGAGGTTATGTGTTTCCGTTTTCTCATGTTCACGTCGTGGTGATTGCGTTTCGTGGTGGTATCAAAACTTTTTACTTACATTGTGAATTTGTCGGGACAATAAATAGGCGTTTTACATTCTTATCATTATAAATATCGTCTCGAGAATAACACGGTATGCTAGTAATACCCGTAATGATAAGAAGATGAACCGATATTGTAGGTGCCGGGTTGCTAACGTGTCGGTGTGGTTATAAAAGTGTTTGTGGGACTATATTTTAAAATTGACAATGAAACATGAATTAAGGATCAATTATTTTACCAGCCTTTTAATGGATTTTTATGTAAGTTTTTTTTATTATGTTTTCGTTTTGTAATTTCTTGCATCAAAAGGAGGTTATTATTGATCTAATTACTTTGGTGATCCTGTTATATACATTAAGGATAATGGAAACGATTTATTTAGAATCTGTGTACTGATGTGCCTTGTTATGTGTTAATAGATTGTAGGTAATTTGCGTCAGATTGTTACTACATTGTGGATTTTAACAAACATTTGTGTGGGAAGCTGGCAAGGTCAGATTTAGTCTTGTCCTTGAAGAAATTCCTTTTATCCCATGTTTTTTTTCTCATTGATAAACATAAAAGATGTCGTGTTACTATCGATGTGACACTAGATAGCGTTATAGGTACACCTAAAAGAGTTGGTAGTTGGTTCTTGTAGGAGTAGGACAGGAACTACTAACATTATTGATAAATGGTAGGACAGGTATTAATTGTGGGATCATTATCATCTAATCTTCGCATTTCCCTAAAACTGGAACAACCCACATGCTTAACTGTTTGCGAACAGTAATCTAACCTAGGTCTACCTCTACTCCTCCTAACTCCTGTTTCTACCTCTAATATGTCTTTAACTAGCCCTTCATGCCTGAGAAGGTCTCCCACCAACCTACCTCGCCTATTTCTTATTGATTTCCATAGTCTTCTGTTCTGGAATGTGAAACTTACATAGGGTGATTGTTCACAAAAAATGAGACATGGGAAGGTTACAGGCCTCAGCCTTTTTGAAGATTAATATTTCATTTTATTTTCCCAATATCCCACCTTGTATGAACATTTTCCTGTCTATTTTAAAAACCAAAACGGAAAATTATACTTGTATGTTTATTTTAAAAATTGTCTACATTGTTTTACCAATTTACAGTTATTATTATTGTCACTCACTACGTAGCATTAGTACCTATACAATTAATTAATTTTCGTAATTTTTTAAAAGTCGTTAAAATGTATTTCGTTGATACTTGGGGGCCCTGCTGGAAAACGCTTTTCCAAAATATCTGACGGTCTCACCTGAAAAAAGTGTACAAGTTATAACGAGTGTTTTTGAATACCAATTTATGTAAAACTATTCACTCACCTGTTTAGCTTCAATTGCCTCAAAGTTAAATCCTTTAAAGAAAGCTATCGTCTTCATTACCCGCAATGACCGCAGTCTTTTTGTGGGGTCAACCTCTAACAGTCTAAGCAGAAGATCTTTCGAGGCATTGTCTATGAAAATGTCATCTGGTAATGTTCCAGGTTTTTTACGATTATCTGATTTTTCATTATTTTCATTTGCAACAGCGGAAACAGGAAACTGAAATAAAAACATCTCGGTATAATTGTACAATAGGTTGTCTACACGTACAGTATTTTTGCAATGGTATTATTAGTTTAGATCCAGGAAAGGAGCTACAGGAGCGTATCCATGAGGGGGGAAGGGGGAACACTATAATCTAACTATTTTCAACCCTCTAACCCTTTAGCCTAAACCATAAACACCCCATAACCAACAATTGATGCCGCCGTTGTTTTTTAACATGTCATCATATCAATTAAATATTTAAAAGCCGCTGCCCTCCGGGTTATAGGGTTAAAACGCTTTGTTATATGTCTTTTATGCCCTTCTTTTTTATCATCGATCCCTCCCTCTCCCATAGAAGACTTCTGGAACCGCTCCTGATTTATGAACGTACTGTGTGGTTGTTGAACAGTTTTGCGTGATTCTTTGAATTCCCTGTTTACAGGTTTGAATTTTAATACTGCCTTGTATATATATAAATTTATGTTAATTGAAGAATTTAGTTTTCAAACTGTATGCAAGATAGAAATAATAACATTCGCTTGTAATAAAATAGTAAGTTTCCGTTATAACCGGAAGCTGGTCATTTAATATTATGTTAGTTTATCATCCTGGCTTCTTCATTATTCTTTAAAAAAACTTGAATAGTTCGTGCGTCTATAAATAGAAGATCCTGATCACGTTAAGATTTAATAATATGCCTACCTAATATTTAATTAAAATATCTCGAGGTACAGTCTGCGTTGCCAATTCTCTGAAAGTTGATATTGTAGATACACTACACTACCCACACAATAATAATATCAAAGCTTCAAAAAAGAGTAGTTTGAGAATGTGAGAAAAATTGGAGATGGCGTGGAAAATTGCTATAAATAATGTTGACATGGAATTGGATGCTTAATTTCAACGTTATCAATCATTTTTGAAATAAAAATTTTATGAGGACGGGATGGTAGGTGGAATGAGAAAGAAGATTAAGTACAACGGATTAGTATCTTAAGTATTAGAGATGAGCTCGAACTCTACAGACTTTTTATAAGCGATCAACAACTAACCGTTATGCGTCAGATGAATAATAATAAATATAGAAACCTAATCTCTTTTGTAAGTCGAAAATCCTTTCCATGTTAGGATAGGTAACAACGTAAATATCAGTATGTATGTAGATAAAAAAGCCCCTCAGGTTTGTTTTTTAATATGTACGTAGCGAATCTCGGAATATAAATAGCGTAAAAACGTGCTGTAAGAGCTAATTTGTCGCTGCAGTATGGTACTATTAAACATTTTGTCTATACTCTTTCCTCCAGCGATTAACGACTGAAGAGCCGCCAATTGGCACTACACAAAGCCTATCTTGGAATATAAATATCGCAGAAAAGTACTGTAAAAATTAATTTGTCGCTGCAATATGGTACTATTAAACATTTTGTCAATTGTCTTTACTCCAGCGATTAACGGCTGCAGAGCCGCTAATTGGCATTACACATAGCGAATCTCGGAATATAAATAGCGTAGAGAAGTACTGTAACAACTAATTTGTCGCTGCAATATAATGGTTAACCGATTATGTCGCTAGTCTATCGTCTAGCTGTCCAGCGATTAAAGACTGGAGAGCCGCAAATTGGCACTACACATAACGTATCTCGGAATATAAAACGCGTAGAAAAGTACTGTAAGAGCTAATTTGTCGCTGCAATATGGTACTGTTAGCCATTTTGTCGATAGTCTTTCCTCCAGCTGTCCAACGAAAAACGACTAGCGGGCCGCCAACTGGCATTACTTGTAGCTTATCTAAGAATGTAAATGGCGTAGAAAAGTACTGAAAGTACTGTAAGAGCTAATTTGTCGCTGAAATATAATGGTTAACCGATTTTGTCGCTAGTCTACATTCAACTGTCCATCGATTTACGACTAGCTAGCCGCCAACTGGCATTACTTGTAGCTTATCTAAGAATGTAAATGGCGTAGAAAAGTACTGTAAGAGCTAATTTGTCTCCGCAATATAATGGTTAACCGATTTTGTCGCTAGTCTATCATACAACTGTCCAGCGATTTACGACTAGCTAGCCGCCAACTGGCATTACTTGTAGCTTATCTAAGAATGTAAATGGCGTAGAAAAGTACTGTAAGAACTAATTTGTCTCTGCAATATAATGGTTAACCGATTTTGTCGCTAGTCTATCATACAACTGTCCAGCGATTTACGACTAGCTAGCCGCCAACTGGCATTACTTGTAGCTTATCTAAGAATGTAAATGACGTAGAAAAGTACTGTAAGAGCCAATTTGTCGCCGAAATATAATGGTTAACCGATTTTGTCGCTAGTCTATCGTCCAACTGTCCAGCGATTTACGACTAGCTAGCCGCCAACTGGCATTACTTGTAGCTTATCTAAGAATGTAAATGGCGTAGGAAAGTACTGTAAGAGCCAATTTGTCGCCGAAATATAATGGTTAACCGATTTTGTCGCTAGTCTATCGTCCAACTGTCCAGCGATTTACGACTAGCTAGCCGCCAACTGGCATTACTTGTAGCTTATCTAAGAATGTAAATGGCGTAGGAAAGTACTGTAAGAGCCAATTTGTCGCCGAAATATAATGGTTAACCGATTTTGTCGCTAGTCTATCGTCCAACTGTCCAGCGATTTACGACTAGCTAGCCGCCAACTGGCATTACTTGTAGCTTATCTAAGAATGTAAATGGCGTAGGAAAGTACTGTAAGAGCCAATTTGTCGCCGAAATATAATGGTTAACCGATTTTGTCGCTAGTCTATCATCCAACTGTCCAGCGATTTACGACTAGCTAGCCGCCAACTGGCATTACTTGTAGCTTATCTAAGAATGTAAATGGCGTAGAAAAGTACTGCAAGGGCTAATTTGTCGCTGCAAAATGGTACTATTATCCATTTCGTCGCCAGTCTATCTTCGAACTGCCCAACGAAAAACGACACTAGCGGGCCGCCAACTGGCATTACATGTAGCTTGTCTCAGAATGTAAATGTCGTAGAAAAGTACTGCAAGGGCTATTTTGTCGCTGCAATATGGTACTATTAAACATTATTAAACATTTTGTCGATAGTCTTTCCCCCAGCTATATAGTGATTAACGATTAGAGATCCGCCAATTGGCATTACACATAGTGTATCACGAAATATAAATAGCGTAGAAAAGTACTGTAAGAGCTAATTTGTCGCTACAATTTGGTACTATTACTTATTTTGTGAATAGTTTTTCCTCCAGCGGTCTAACGAGAAACTACTTGAGAGCCTCTAACTGGCACTACATATATCAATCATATCATATATACATATATCGTAGAAAAATACTGTCTGCGACAAGGTGGGAAAAAGTATCGTCCTTCAGCGACAAATTCTAACCTTTACTATATTTTCTGTGACATATTTTTGGGATACATTATATGTAGTGCCAGTCGATAGCAAGGTAGCACTCCATCTGTTTTTCACTGATCGACTGCAACGACAAATTTTTCGATTTGGTAATAAATTAGCGACAAATCGCAGTGTACTATAGAAATAAGAAATATAACTACAAATAGTGCTAGCTTGACATACGTCTATGTAACGTATGTAGCTAGTTGCAGGAGTTGTCCGGCCAGCAAGCAACCTGTGTCTTTGTGATGGTTAAAAGTAAGCTAAATTGCTTTGATATTAAAGCGGGTACTGCTACATACAACATAGATGGATAATGATGATGGGAACCGGCCTTGAACGGTGTCATTGATTTCTTCGATCAACAGCAGCAGCAGAGGCAGGGAGGATCTTCAGCAGGAGTTGGTTGCTGCTGCTGGCCTGTTGGCTGCCCTGTCCTGCTGCTCGCTGACCGTTGCTTCTCTCCTCTCTGTGATAAAGTAAACGAAGGAAGGTACGAATGCCAATGTTGCCACATTAGAAAAAAAAATCAGTCTTGTCCGTCCGTCGCCAAATACCATTTCTGCAAACTGTAAAAGCAGACGTGGCTGCGTTACTCGTCGCCTCGATTATACGCAAACTTTGTCTGCACGCATGGCTAGAATACACTTCGATTGAATTGAAAATAATTCTGTGACACTTTTACCTTTTCTCGGTAAACTATATCTGCTTTTTAATTAGGGATCTAATGTATTCGGAACGTCTTGCCCCCTTTGAGGTTTAAGTTATGGACTCAGAGGCAGGTTTAGGGTTGTAAACGTTTATTAATTACGTTAACTCGACCTACGTTTCGCCTTCTAATAATTATTCCATTAATGGAAGCTAAAATGGTTGTTAATTTTAGTCAGTTGTTTGTTTCCGAAGATTTTCTTTAGGAATGATAGGTAGTTTGAAGTAACGTCGCGGGGTTGAATTTAACATTCATCGTGTGTTGCGTCTCAGATGAGACTTAACGGTGGGGCCGTTTTTTAACCGTCCTTGTACGGCTAACTGAACAAATTAGACTTGTTAAATAGTAATCGTCCGACGACCGACTGCAAAAATTATTGTTTTGGTTTTTGTTGAGATACAGAAAAACTTGTTTTTGTTGTGTTTTGTGTTTTGTTTGGCTGGAGTTTCGCGTTGCACTGATTTTATCGGGGCCAGTTGGCCAGTAAGAGGGCACAATACTCACGCATCCTCCTAGATAGATGTAACATGTAATTGGCTATAAAGAAGTCTTATTATTTGATCTTCCTAAAGCGACTTGTACAATAACTAAGGTCACTGAACTTTTTTAACGAAAACTATAATCGCGTTCGTTTGGTAAAAATATTTTCCGACTGTTTCGCCTTTACAAAGACAAATTGGACAACCTAATGAGATGAAAAGATACCTACATGCCTACCTATTTATAACTAATAAGCATCCGAAGAGGCATTAGTCTCTCATTCAAAAAAAAAAGGTTCTTAAATTCTTAATGTATTTAATGAGCTGTAATTATTCACTTCACAACGACAATAATATTAGTTTCTAACGTTCTGTAAACCTAAAAGCAGGTATTAATTTTATTTTGTCATCTTTATAAAAGTTCGGTTAATTAAAGTG